TTTACTAAAGATTCAGTCTGAACATGAAAAGAATAACTATCTGTAGTCAACTAAGGTAAGATTTTACAGTGAGCTCAGCAGGCCATGATTGGTACTCCACGGTGCACGTGGGTGGGCAGCAAGGCATGCAATGGGTCAGATTACCAGGCTATTGTTCTGCTGTTCGCTAACAAGAATTGAGAGCCACGCTAAGCCATTTGAAGAAAAAAAAAATTAGTTTGGAATATAAAAGTCTACGTGTGAAAATGTGACTAACTGTCATACAATAACATCAGCTTGTCACATAAGGCTGCTGAGGCATTGTAAATGCTGTGTCCAAATCTAAAAGGTATGCACTATGTTATAAGTTAAACAAACTGTACATTTGAATGTGATTTATTGAGACAAGGTTATTTTTAATCTACACAACACTTGGTTGCATGCTAGCTGATTAAACTGACGTGTGTGCCATAGTTACCTGATTGGTTGGACTTCTGTCAGTTACAACACAAATAAAGTAGCTCTAGAAATGATGATACATTAAAGAACTAGTCATTTCAGGAGGACTTCAAACCTGTGACGTGCCTATTTAGTTTATGACTCTAGTCATAAATAACAAGCCTCTTAGAACAGAGGGATACATCAATAAAGAAAACAAAAGGAGCAAAGCTGGTCGGTTACGATTATCGTAAACGTATCCAGTCTTACAAATTCCTGTGTTTCCCTAAAAGGGTTGGAAAGTCACACATGTCACTGAAATGAAAGCTCCCTCCTACTTCACAAGCAGGGATAAAGAAGAGGAGTATGACAGAAACAGAGGGAAGGGAAAGAGAGGGAGGGAGGGCAGGTGTGTGTGTTAGCCTGTGCATGCGTGCATGCATGTGTGTGTGGGTGGAAAAGTGACAGGCGATGATTAGCCCAACCAGAGGAGGATATGTGGGAGGGAGTGTGTGGGAGTGGGGCTGGTGAAAGAGAGAGACTGTCTCTTTAGGCAGAGATATACACAAGTGGATTAAAGAGCACTCGTACTGTTTAAACAGTTAGAAATAACAGGAGATTCAAGGACAGAAAATGCACACAACTATGTACTGTAAGTATAACAGGCATAAACACATGCATGCACATACAGTACATACACACAAGGGGACATTCCTGTGGCAACATACTGTGTTCTAAAAGAATGAGTAAAGGCCCTGACACACCAGGCCGAAATCGGCCGTTTTCGTTAGTCGGACGACGAAGCGTGCCCTGTCGCCCAAACTCAATTTGGTGTGTCCCGCACCGTCGGCCGTGACACGCCTTATTTGGCCTTTCATGGCCGACGCATGTTGAATCGGCCGTGCGTCGGCCACAGGCAGTCGGACAAAGAAATCACTCTGATTGGCTGTTCAGCTAGCGAATCAGTGCATGAGCAGCGAAACGGTTGCTTGAGAATGTCTTGCACAAGCAACACTCCAATGGCTGATCGCTCCAGTACCGCACAAAACATGTCTTCGATGGACGAGAGTGAAAATGGAACGCACACGCTATTTGTTGTTTGTTTAGATCACAGTCTGTTCTTCTTCTCTGTCTTCCAGTTGTTGCCTCTTTTGAATGACGAATACACACTACCGCCGCCTGCTGGTAAGGAGAGTTATTGCCACTCACGCATGCGCAGTTCGTACGTGCTCAGCTGAAGTCTTTGCCGTGTGTTCCAGTGCGACACATGGCCAAGACGCAGGAGAACACGGCGACGCAACAGTCTGCGTCGGCGAGTTCTCTGGTGACTGCTTGGTGTGTCAGGGCCTTAAGACTCGAGCCAGGGTATAATGCATGTTGTTTTGTCGATGAACACAGCAACAGAGAGCATTATTTCTAAAAGTCATTTCACTTCCTGCTTTAGGCCTAATGTTTACATGTGTGGAAAACATGTAAAACTAATGTAAAACATGTGTGGAAAACAGGAGAAAGAAAGAGATGGTGAGCAGCTGAGCAGCTCTTGGATGTGTAGGTGGGACCATTTGCAGCCCGTCTCTTACTAAGGCTCTGTGGAATTAACAGGCTTTAAAGAGGTGCAAGAAGAGCTCAAAAACACATATACATGTGTGAGCATGCGCAAATACAGACAAGCCATTGAAAAGAATATTTATCTTTTTAGTATAATCAGCCAGCAAACTCAATAACTCTTTAAACAAACCTGTTTAACCTGATGCCGACTGATTATGTGACTGATGTGGAAAGTATTGGATGCAATGTTTATGATCACTTGGGTTCCCCACACAATGCTTTGAATCCTGAGTTTACACTTATGTCCATCTCTGTAAGGTTATCGAGGGCATACATACAAAATCTGAACGGAACCAGGTGGAGATAAAAAGGGACAAGCAAACAATGCCTGAGACCAAACATATATACCCGTTTCCAAGCTTTAATTTTCCCTTAGGGTTCTTTTTTTTTTATTTTAATACATACACACATTACATGCAGAGGAATTCAGCTATTCGGACATAATGGTATGGGAATGTACTTACTTTATCTTGGGTCCACTATATTATACTCTTTTTCATCAATATATTATAGGTCTCAATTATATACAAAACATGTCTCTGAAGTGTTTGGCTGGAAGTACCAAACAGATCATTGTAGCATCCCATAATCCCCTCTGTTTCAGCCCTGTTTCAAAAGTGCTGATTCTCTGTATGTTACTTTAGATGGAAATAAGGAGCCACTCCCAACGCCCCTCTGAGAGATATTTGGTTAACCTGTTAAGCCCGGGAGCGCCCGCCCCCGGGGGCTCCCGCATCAACTTGCAAGAAACAGCGTCTGAGGGTTTCTTAACATTTAACAAACTATGAATGTGAATTTACCTGAAAATAAAAACATCTATATTGATTCTGACTTTTCTACATCCAACTCACAGGTGTATCATTACTTTGAGAAAAAAAGATTATAATTGACCCCTTTTAGAAGTGAAGATATAGTCATTTGTTCTGGGAATGTCATTTTTGAGCCTGAAACCTGAAAAACAGACTCAGGGCTTAACAGGTTAAAAAGAACACAATGGTGCTCTAGGAGGAGATTCAGGTGATAAGGTGGGTGGGGGTTACCTTGGTTGGTGATTGGCTAATGGTCACACAAGCCAACAAATCGTTATGACATCATAAAGTGGTCAAAATCAGCTCATTTTCAGACAGGATTTGATATAAATGGATCAGGACAAAAAGACATCCTTTTTCCTGAGACGTTCAGAATCTCTTTACACAGAGGGGACACATGTTTATGTATAAAAGACATGAAAAAGTGGATTTTGCACAATAGGTGACCTTTAGGTGAAAACATATTTTAGGATATATAAAATCAGAACAAGATTAATTCAAAAAGAGAGATTTGAAAGCGCTTACTTTAATATATTGATATATTTAAGCAAGTTCTTTGCATCTGTATTCTGTGTTTTAGCACAAGAGCTGTGTTTGGCTACCCTCCAGCTCTCTCCAATATGTGGATATTTCTGTCCTCTATCAGTTAAACAGGAAACTCTTTGGGACTCATCCCTGCACATGGTTTGACAGAAGGTCAGGGCACCGGTGCCGACCTCAGGGTGGGGAATCCGAAAAGTTGAGAGCAGGTGGCAGGAAAATAAAACAACCCTTAGCCCCCCCCCTTGGGAAACACGGTTGCATGTACAGTAGAGGAATGTCAGGTGTACTGTAGCTGGTGTATTTAGCTGGAGGCTGGTAATAAACATCGGGGACTTATATCATACTAGCTACACCACAACCTTTCTTTTTCAACTTACAACTGCACGGAGAGATTCAGCTGATGAACACAGAGGAAAACAGACGGATGTAAAGACACAGAGAATGAGTCATATTAAATATCCACTCCCTCACAGATCTTCCTCCAGGCACGGCTTTTGAAAATGAAATCAGTTTTCAGTTCTCTCATACACTTGCGACAAAAGAGGTGTATACTTCCACACGCACGATTTTCTAAATTGCCATGGCAACATGAGTAACAACGAGTGCGGGTGGACCAGCAAACACAGTCATGTAAACACATATTTTCAGATAACTTGTGTTCTATATACCTCCTATAATACCTCCTTGCTATTAAGTCACATTGTTGTGGGGTGCAAGCAGAGATTAGATCAGCTGCTTGTGACTGTGGATTTTGGCTGGGGAAAGCCCAAGTGAGGCACAGAGTACAGTACCTGCTGTATCAATGAAAAACCTCACAAAGATAGAGAGATAGAGGGATAAAGAGAGAAAGAGAGGGGCCGCGTTCTGAATAAAACATCCTGAGAGCACTTTCATGTGAATCCCTGTTGGCTGGGCTGGAGGAAACCCAAACTATATATTTCAGCTCCACAGCAACAAAGGCCCCGTCAAATCAACAGCTACTTCCACGCAGATCAGGCAGTTGAAAGCACAATCAGCGCAAAGGAAATCTCTTCAAACAAGAGCTGATTTCCCATGGGCTGGTGACAGTAAATAAGGACACACTGAGAGTCAGCTATCACCTAGGAAACAACTCACTGTAAGAGGACCAGGTGTTGGTTGCCAATTGACCTCCATGTTTGTAACCAGAACACACAAAGAGGCACAGCTTATCGACATGTCATGAGGTGCAACACTTCCAACATCTGGTAGACCCATGTATTTTTTCAAACAGAATAAATACAACTTCCTAACCGGTCACATAAAAAGGTATTTTCCATTCAGCTCAGATGAAAAGGTGTTACCATAGTCCCTACCATTATTAAATAAATGATGTTCAGCTACGAGCTCATTGTGCTGACCGTACTCCATTTATTATTGCTACCTTTTTCTTCCTCTGACAGTTACTTTTTCTAGGATACAATAACATTAACTGATACCCTGCCACCGCTAAAGCTGATGTTAGATTGTGTGTGTTTTTGTGAGTCCTTGTATGTGAGTGTGAAAAACTGATGCTGCTGTTGTAGGCCGGTGTGGCCAACAAAAAGAAAGAAAAGGAGAGAAATCGCAGAAAGAGAAGCTGGTCATCAGGTATCTGTCACTTACCCAAATCTTTGGATCCTTGACTTTCACTGGCAAGTTCACCCATTCTCACCAGAGCATCAAAGTAGCCTTTGGCCGCAAACGTCACATCTAGAGACAAAGAGAAGCAAGAACAAAAAGTAAGTAGGATAAGTAACAACGCTTAAAGTAACAGTGCAGAGTGCCTCTTCAAATTTGGAAAAGACAAACTGTAATACATCTTAGCTTTGTGTAAACAATGACGTCAGCAGTCTGGTCAGTGACGCGGAAACATTTACACCCTTTCCTTCTACTTCTGGTTTTACTCAGATGTTTTTCAAGCAGTGAATCACAGCTTCTGGCCAAAAGATAATAAGCAACACTGATGTTGCTAAGTAATTACTGAACATCATCTTGCTGGCATTCTGCGTGCTTGATTGCAAAGAGGAAATTACAATGAGGACATTTCAGACAGATAATCTGTGCTTGATGGGGAAGCAACACGAGCACCAAAATGCATTTTGTTTATGGCTTAGCGTTACAAGTAAAGGAGGTTTATTATCAAAAATATGCTTTATTATGACCACAAAATGTATGTAAGATAGTTGATTATTTAATAGGGTTTTTTGGCACTATAGGTATATGCCATTTCACCTATATATTCAGTAGAGCCAGAATTAATGTTGCTCAGAATTACTTTTCCAGAAAACAACAGGACACACTTTTTGTCCATTGTTACATGATGTAGTACTATACTTTAAAGTGAGATACTTGCTTAAGCGTGTTTAACGTTATGTTATCTGATGTTTTGAATCAATGTGTGCTTTTTTCTTTCCCGTTTTCTCTTTGGTATATGACCAAAGGGACCGTAAAAAAAAACTAATATTTGCAAGCCAATAGCTGTGAGAAAACATTGTTGTCCCACCAAGGAATTTTTAAATGTCACGCTGTAACCCACATGCTGTTTACCACCACTTGCACTCTCCATCTACCAATCCATTTATTTATTTCTCTGTCAATATTTCTTAACAATGGACAGCAGGGTGGCCCAATGACTTGGGGATACTGTTTATTATTGGATGGATAAAGGTTACACCTGTAGAAAAGGCTTCAACTGCTGCGGTGTGCCTCTGCAACGCTGGATGCTGAATTGTGGCCGACACTGCTAGGGGGGAGGGAAAGGAGGTCTAAGATTGATGAAAGCTGTTATAATGTTAATCGACTTGCCTTTATAATCTAACGGGGTTATCTAATTGCTCCGTTTAGTCACTAGTATAAACAAGAGTCCAGTATCTAGAACACGTGTATAGACACGCCACAACATGAACACCCAAAATGTTTGACCTTTGCTCTAGATCTTCAGGGAACACAAAAACAACCAGTGAGGTTAATCCTAATCTTCAACCATATCTCCTCTGCTCTCTCGCTAAATAAACAAAAATCAAGAATACTCTTGTTTGCTCAGATCAATATCCACCTCAGCCCCTATTATTCCAACTGCTGCTGTGCTGGCCAACAAAGGTCACGCAGGCCAGAGTCTGTTTCCAGTGATTTCTGCCCTGCCTGCCAATCGGCCCATCTCCAGTGAATAATGGCCGCTGCTTCCAGAGGTGAATTCAACAGCGGTCCAAGTGACAGATGTGCCCTGTGATTGCAGACAGCTGCCAGGTGAGAGACACATTCACAACAATAGCCTGGCAGGGGCAGACTAATTCTAGCAGACAGATGCAGCCTTGTGATAGAGGAAGCCTCCCAGGCTGGAAGCCTCCAGCTCTGCTCCCAGGCAGAGGGACATATGCAAATGCTAATCCCAATTACAGCTGAGTCAACTGCAGTAGATGGTGTGCATTTCCTCCTTCCTCCCTCTCGCTGGGGGAACACCTGAGAACTGAGAGCAGGGCCTCTAGAGCATCACGCCTAATTTCTCATCATTATACCAAACAGACCTCCTGCTTGCTTTGTGAAAGGCGTGCGTGAGTGTGCGTGTCTGCGCATGCAAGTTCGCACATGTGCAGTTGGGGGATTGTGCGTGTAGGATGGTAGGAGCTAAGGCACATTTTCAAAGTGATCTCCAAGCAACAGATTCTTTCTTCTTGCCTGAATCTGCTGCTGCAGCAGTGTGTGAGAGAGAGTGTGAGTGGGCTGCTGAAGGGTGGATGAGTAGATAAGCTGGATCTATATGGATATTTTACTTCTGTCTCATGAAATGTTTGAGGGGACAGACGGAGAGGATTACTGGTTCTCTGATTGTAACGCAGACAGACAATTGAGAGGGGAGGGATTCATCTCAGAGCTACTGATCTATCACTTACTGTATACTTCACGCTATAGAAGAGGTGGGAGAAGCACACATCCCTTAATCAGGACAACAATCATTTGCTCTACTTGCATCTGTTGGGGGACTTGCATAATAACTCCAGGCTGTGTTTAGTGAGCATTTGGACTCACTCAGTTGTATGCATCTGTTGCTTTTACACTTACCAAATGCTGTGAGATTTAGAGACTTACGGCTGTGTAGGGAAATCTGGAACATGTCCATATCTAGATCTAGCAGGCCTACACTGAAACCCTTTTGGCATTTCTGGTGTTTAATAATTTCAGCGATTGCACCATATGGGTGGAAGTGTGTGCTCCCAACCATCGCCCCCGCAAATCAGCCTCTTAGTCCCTTGTGTGGAGCCAATCCTGCAAAGTGGGTCTTTAATGGCTCAGTGAGTCCCTACCAGTCTGTTTCCTACCTACACCAAGACCAGGATTAGTTATTGTGAGTGTCAGCAGAAAGAAGCACAGGCTTGGGGGGGGGGGGGGGGGGGGTCATACTAATTGCTTATTAGTTGGACTGAGGGGGGTTCAGACTTTATTAAGGTTGAGGGGCGTTTTGGGGGAAAGTTTCTCTCAAGACAGAGGACAGTACAAATTCTCATTAAAAAAAATTAAAATAAAAAGAATAATAATAATAATGCAAAAGTGATTTGTGTGCGACAAACGTATATCCACACATTTTCATTTGTAAATGTTGTGTTTTGACAGAGAGCTATCCTTACAGTTCTTACAGTACTGTTTTTCACATGCACCAAATGATAATGCATACCTATTTGACATATAGGTTTATTGTACTGTCGTTTTTTTAGAAAGACAAATAGATAGATAGATAAATAGATGGTAATAGGAGAGAGAGTGCTGGCTTGGCCATGTGCCTAAACCTGCAGTGAACAGGCAGCACGGTGAAAATAAATGAGACAAAAAGGACTTACTGGCAAGGGCCTTCTCATAGTTCTTCCCCATGGCAACGAAGTTCCGTAAGCAGGGGTTGAACTGCTCCATGATAGTCTGAAAGAGAAAACAAGAGATAAATGGGCGGCGGAGGTTTCACTTATCAGCAAGGCGAGGTCAAGGGCATGGAGACAGACTCACACCTAGCTCTATTCATTGTCTCCCAGATGAACTTCATGACTCTCTTTCTCCCTCTAACATACACAAACCTCCTTCAGCTGCACAACATCTTTCTTGCACACATACACAGCCATTGACAGAGTATGTGAACACCCTAACAGTTGTCTTAAATGGGAGTGAGCACAGGAATGCCTTCCTCCACTTACATCCTGCCACTTGTTGTGAGAATTGCTCTGGGTGGGATGAGGGGGGAGGGGCTGGAGTTAATGGTGGCGGCAGGGGAGTAGGCAAGATACTCTTGGAATAAGAAGTGACATTTGTGAAATGTACATTGACAGGGACGCATGTAGTTAGCCTATAGAGAGCATGAGATGATGGACATAACGGCTCATTAAGGCTGCAAAAGGACAGAGCAGTTTACATTTGACTGAGCTTCATATGGAGCTGTTGGCATAATTCATTAGCATCGAGGCTTCAAATTAGTCTGGGCAATATAGATAAAATGGAATATTACAAAACCTATGGTCAAATACCTGGATATCAATATTGCAACAATATTGTTATAGGTTGATTGTTGGTGCTTTCTATATATTTACACCATGATATGTTTGATAAATGACAGTATACATCATTAATGTGAGAGTGTGTACGTGGGTAAAGGAAATAATAAGTTAATACGATATCCAAAATCTAAGACAACATCTAATCTTAAATCACAATATTGTTTTAATATACATTTCCTGGTCCTAGTTGGATTTATAACATTATATCAAATCAAATCAAATCAGGTTTTATTTATATAGCACATTTTAAAACGATTTTTGGTCGAGCCAAAGTGCTGTACATGCAAATAATAAATAACACATTACTACAATCGCAAACAGAAGACAATAAATTACAACAGCAAATATAAAAATCAAACACAGGGATGAAGGGGGAGGGGCTGGAGTTAATGGTGGCGGCAGGGGACTTATATAATGCAAGTATCTTAAAATAAACCCTTCAATTGTCAATATAACTAGAATATGAGCAGAGTGTGTGTCATGTCAGCAATAAGAAATATGCTGCATTACTAGAGATACAGTATCATACTACACTGTAGACAAAGTCGTATATTCAGAGAATGCATGATGCCTGACGTCTCCCACCATCATCGTTTCCTCTACTTCTCCTCTAGCTATCCTCGCTCCTCCTGTGCTCCTCCAGGGCTTCCTCCAATTAGCTGGTCCCCAGTCAGCCAGTCAGGAACAGCCAGGGGACAGAGAGACAACCACAACACTGCAGCAGCAGCAGCAGCAGACACAGGCCATCAATACTGCAGGAGAACACTTCATAATCTACTTCCAGCATAAATTCATGCTGTGGCAGAATAATATGGCAGTGTGTTAACCTGAAACAACCCTGGCAGCTCATCCTAAAAATCATATGCCTTTTATCTTCAGTTAAGCCTCAGCATTGTTGAGTGCCAAGATGTAGATAGGATGTTATATGCGTGTGTGTTTGTGTGCACTTGCTGCGGCGTGTATCCCAACAGGAGTCAAAGTTGAACTGGCTTAAATGCACCAAAGCCCACCTACAGTAGAAATACCAGTGAGTCAGACATAAACGCAGATACTTTCATTACCAACAGTAACTTCATACACTTCTGCGTGACTGAACTTGCATCTGAGGCTATTGCAGCAAAACTTGATTCCATAAAAAACGGGACACGATGAAAAAAGCTCTGGTCATTTACGGCTAACTACAACACAGCCTGTACAGCCTGAACACGAAAAAGGGTATACACTTTTACATATGTATAAGTATGGATTTATAGATCTATTTCATACCACACAACAACATCTGTTCTGACATTTGATAAGGTTAATCAAACATGGTTGTCCTTTTGACTTAAAGGTCACCTATTATGCAAAATCCACTTTTTCATGTCTTTTATACATAAATATGTGTCCCCTCTGTGTAAAGAGATTCTGAACGTTTCAGGAAAAAAGATTTGCTCACTTTTTCACGGTTTGTGTAACCATTAGCCAATAACCAACCAAGGTAACACCCGCCCACCTTATCACCTGAATCTCCTCCTAGAGCACCATGGTGTTCTTTTTAACCAAATATCTCTCAGAGGGGCGTGGGGAGTGGCTCCTTATTTTCATCTAAAGTAACAGACAGAGAATCAGCACTTTTGAAACAGGGCTGAAACAGAGGGGTTTATGGGATGCTACAATGTTCTGTTTGGTGTTTGGAGCCAAACACTTCAGAGACATGTTTTGTATATATCTGAGACCTATAATATATTGATGAAAAACAGTATAATAGGAGACCTTTAAAACATGATAATCCAAATATCCAAATAGTTGCCCATTTAATATATCTTAACCCTTTGAGAAATGTGTTGCCATAGTTGGTTCACTTTAAGAAGCATACCGACTTGTGGAAATTGTGTATAAAATGGTTTTACATTCTGGTAGTTGTGGCAGAAAAAAACAAGAGTGAGCAAAAAGAGGTTTGGGTTCCCATGGATATTGGTCGGCTGAACTTAGAGGTCATCATCCTCCTTGTTATAAGTTCCTGTCTGTTAACTGGTTCTAGCCCTCAAGCGAAAAACGGATTCTCAGGAAGTCTCTGCAGTGGCTCAGCAGCTATTGGGAACACAGTGAGAAATGTTCTCAAAAAAGAGAGCATATTTATACTGCAGTCTCTTGAATACAGAGCTGATTGCTTCAGCAGGAGGGCACCATGTCAGCGAATTGTTTTACATAAACATATTTCAAAGCTACCATGAAAAGATGGTGGAATGAGTAGTTTAAAGTATTCTCACAGTTAAAATCAGCTCCATTTATTTACTGTCAGGCTCTGTTAGTCTAATATACCAGACGAAAGGAGCATAATTGTGGAGAATCCCTCCTTTAAGCACATGGTGCTCGTATAAAAAAAAGGTATCCCCGCTCTCTCCGCCTCTGGGAAGATAAAAGACTAACACGTCCCTGAGGAAATGTTTATACCTCAATGTTCCTTCCATCTGCCTTATTTTGATGTAAAGTGCATCTCATAGAGGATAGGCCGGGTCACACACGCACATGCACACACACATCAGCGTGTACTTGTGCACACTCCTACATTAATGCAAGTCTTCATAATAAAGAGTGGTGATGTTTGGTGGTGGGAGGATTACATAACAAAGCAAAGCCCTGTGCAGCATCATTACGGCACACTCTCCCACTGAGGAGGCCAAAAGGTAGCTGACACAGGCCCAGCCGCCTTACTTCCACATACTGAATAAATGCATACATTTATGAAGTTATTGAACATATAACGACTTTGATGATTAGCCACAAATATATCTAAAATAGGCCAGTGACATAAGGGGTAGAGAAGAGGGAAAAACTCATCTCTTCCCATTGTTGCTAAATGTGTCATCCCAGTTCTCTTGTACTACATTGTTACCCTAATTGTGGCAGCTAATTGGGAAATTGGGCCAAGAGGCACTTCAAGTTGTGTGACATGGAGAGAGAGAGAGACTGAGAGAAAGACTGAAAGGGAAAGAGGGAGAGGGATCAACAAAGTGATTGAGTAGAAAATTGCGAGGAAGGAATATTTCAAGAATTACGAGCAAAGGGTGTAGAAGTAATTATGTGCTGTACATCCCTTCCCATCCAATACCCCTCTATATTATTTTTCAATGAAGATATAATTAAATGAGAAAATGTCCCGGCTAAAGTGTAATTATTTCTTTTTACTGTGGAAAGAAAAAGCTGTCCATTTTGCGTTCTACTCAAGGACTGAATTAATTCATTATCAATACTCAAGACAAAAATAGGGGCAAAGAAATGTCTAGAAAATGAATCAAATCTGTTTCACATCAAGTTGTGCTGTGAGTTGAGACGGGAGTCATATGGAGAGTTCAGGAGCATGAGCATTGAGGCTGCAGATAAGGGAAAACACAGGAATACAATCTCATCTTGGAAGTAAGGAACCATGTTAGTACATGGGAAATAGTTTCACGATTTGGACTATGGGTTATCAATCCATCTTCCCTCATTCTGTACCATCACACACAAAATGCAGTAATGATTATGCAAAGAGGGTCATTTCAATGTAACACACGCTGATTAGAACCAGGGGGAATCACGCACAATCAGAAGCCAGGATGCCATCATCATCATCTGTTCCTTCGCACCCTCCCCTTGCTCCTTCCTCCTCTTCTACATGGCAACCAGCCTCTGGCATGAAACATGCCCATGATAAAATCAGAACTGTTGCCCCCGTACTAATGGGAGCACTGTAGAAGAGGTGACAGAGCCGAATGTTATCAGGGAGGAAAGTAAAGAGGATAATGTCGAGATGGACTTGTGACAACTGCAAATATAGTATTGTTTCCCTAATTACTAACACTATGAGGCAATGATGAGTCTCATGACAGCTGTGACCTTTAGCATACTGTGCCAAGAGTACAGAGCCAGGTTGCTGTGTAATCTCCTGTCTGGTAAACAAAGACGGACAAGAAAGAGACACGTGTGTATCTGAGGGTCCACCACCTTTCCTAGGGGAACCCCTAGCCCGTGCTATGCAATATCTTGCTTTCATTATGTAAAGCTAAAGTATAAAGCTAGCGGCAATGCTTGTGGAATGTTTAATTAAAATAAACACAGCAAGCCAGGGTAATAGCTAGTTAACATGTTTCTATTTTACTCCAGTAAACAGTTTTAATAATAAATGTTGCCATATGCAAACAAGTGCAAGAGAAATGTAAACTACAATTAAATAAAGCTAAACTCAAAGCCACTGGGTTTTGCCTTGGGGGAATCCATGGGTACACATTGCAAATCTATGGCTCTGCATCTAGCTCACTGTGTAGGTCAGTCGATTCCAAAGTTATTGGCAACAGCTTAGTGCAATTTATTTGGACTTTGCTGCAGTAGACTGACGTAAGCCAAATTAGT